GGCCAGCTCTCGGCTGTGTGTTACTCAGTGTCTCATAAGGAGAAGATCCTGTATTCAGACATCCATCTTCCGTTGTGTTTACCCATGCTGCAATAATATCAATACCTCTGTTGCCCAGTGTTCTACGTGTCACTAGATAATGCCTGAAACCACAGTTGTTTAACACCGCCCACGTCTCACTGAGTTGAGTCCAGCGAAGTGCAGACAGACGTGTGCATGTCCACCTGTCCGACTATTCAATTAAGTGTTATCGTTTGAGCTAATATTCTCCGTCGTTCAAGCTTAGCCACGTGCCAATTGAGTCCGGTTGCTGCCCTAGAGGTGGTGCAATGGATTGAACGTTTGTCCTTTCCATTTCATGACCTCAACGCACAATTCAGGAAACTTCGGGAAACCGTTTATTTGTAGTCACATCCTAACACGCAGATGACCGTAGTTCGAATGAAGGCGAAAGTCTTTTTCTGCGTTATGCTATGTGTCACGTCGGGGTTTGTTTCGAAATTTGAAGCCCAGTTGTAACTGCATGTTTTTTGTTGTATTTATGGGTTTTATATGATGCAAGAAATGAATAGTAATTTTTTCCTTGAACGACATAAGTAAATTGATATTTGTAGTAGTGATGTTTTGTGTTTTTTTCCGGTGCGAACTGAATTCTTAAACAATCTTAAAACTTTGCATACCGTGTAGTGTATTAGAATATAGAGTGAACAAACCAACAACTATTAACACTATAATGGACACTATTGCCATACGCGTTTCGACCTCAAGAGGTCATCATCAGTGGCATCAGGGAAATTAATACATATAGTCAAATGGTTGACTATATGTATTAATTTCCCTGATGCCACTGATGATGACCTCTTGAGGTCGAAACGCGTATGGCAATAGTGTCCATTATAGTGTTAATAGTTGTTGGTTTGTTCACTCTATATTTGAATTCTTAAATGTTATTTATATGTTATATGAAATGTTATTTCGGTTTAAACGAGTTAAGCAGCACGAGGAAACAAAAGTGGGCAAAATGATAAGTTAAAGAAGGGGAGGAGAAGGAGGAAAAATATAATTAAATAGAAGAACAAATTATAATGAAGAACAAGGAGAAAATAAAACATAAATGCAGTACTGCCGCGTGTAATCTCCTGAAGTCCTTACTGAAGTTTTTAATGATTTTTCTCAGCATTTTTAGACTCAAGCCGAAATGGTACTGAGAAATAAGCTGTGACCATGGGTTTCCATATCCACATGTCTTCCCTATTCCTGATCAAATTCTAGTCTATTTCGACGTTATGTGAGCCTAAACTACGTAGCTGAAACAGTCGATAAGTAATGTAAAATTTATGTTTTGATCATCTCAAATGCTTTTTAACTTCTGTGATGGATTCAGTATTGCTAAAGAAACTAAGAGTGTCTGTATATGATGTTAATAAATGTATCCAAATTTTACATTAACGTACAGAATGTCCCAAAATTATGTATAAACAACAGAAAATTTCGTGGCCGCTTGTCAGTCAGCTGTTCATCGCTGTAAACTGTTCCACGAAGCTGACGGTGGTTGTTTTTAACATCTACATAGATTCGCTAATTGATTAAGCGCCAATGATGATGTATGTAATGGATTAGTTTTATTAAAATATTTTTATTTTGTTCATTCAATGTGTGTATACTTCATTTTGGGACACCTGTGTATAGTATGTCAATTTCGTAATTTGGATACATACATTTGGAGACGTACAATATATTTTTGTGATTAAATTTAAGTTGTGGAATGTTTTCATTCGTGCTTTTATTGGCAATTTAAGAGGTTAAATTTGTATGTTGAGATAATTACTCGCTTACTGATTACAAAAAGCAAAATATTTACATAATATAACTGACATATTACACACAGAAAGCATTTGTAATTTTGAACAATTTATTAAAATGGCACTCCAGCGAGTCGATTGTGCTCAGTATATGTATTAAAATTTCAAAATTAATGGCTCACATCACTGAGCGATGGCGCGCTTAATTACAAGTGCTTCTAAACCACAATGGGAGATATGTTTTAAACAATAGTGTTACATAAACCTATGACTTTAATTAAAACATTGAACCACCGCCGCTGGTACTTACAGTACGACACAAATAGGTTTAAACAATAACCAGCTCTAACGAGTTGAACAATTCTTGAAATGATAAGTTGCTCAGCTTGTTAGGAATTTCCCTGCCTTTTATAGAACACGAAGATTCATTACCACACTCACAAGGACCTGTAACCGATCCCTAAACCGAGGCAGATGATCCAATCCATACCTCAAACCCCCTTTCCCTTACATTGACTTTAATATTATATTTCCATCTACGCTAGGTTTCTAAGTAGTTTTTTCCCTTCAGTATTTGCAACCAACATTTTTGCGCATTTACTACTTCCCGATGCGTGCTACAAGTGAACTGGGGGGAAAATATAAAATTATTGAATCAATATTACGAGGAATGACAGAGATATGGATATACTTATATACAGTCACAAGGCGTGGGTGTATATTTCGGAGTTCACCACATCGAAGTTTGGTGTCTATGTATTCTAGTCAGGTTGTGTAATTTTCAGCCCTCGTGCGATATTTACTATACTTTTAAATGGAAATCTTGAATGTGAAGTTAGAGACGTTCGCCATAAGGAAGGGCACAGTAGCCTCGTGGTAAACGTTTCTTCCAGGTCTAAACGACTGCTACTACACACAGAGCTCCCGAAGTACGGCGAAAATTGACGTCATGGTACAATGTGGCTTCTTATTACACCCCGCGGGTGTTCCGGCCCTGGTATTGGCGCTTCCGAGCAAAGTTCTAATAACTCTGTCTGGTGTCTAGGCATCATAACTTGTAGTTAACAGCCAATAGAGTAGTTGTAGAACATGTGTTGTTTCAGTCATTAGTTAGCAGGTTTGTGTTGCAGTAAAGTTACAGATTTTATTTTGGTACCCATGGAAAGACACTTCGGAAGTTCGGCGTCAACTTCACATAAATTTAAGTTTAAAAAAAATATGTAAGAATTCGATTGTACGCAGTTTTACTTGAAAATTTTATACTTATGTTTAAGAAAACTTGTTATTTGTCTGTATCTTTAATCAGTAGAATCCAGTCCATTCTTTTACGCCTTATTTGTTAGGAATTAACTTTAATAATATCCTCCATTCTAAGCATGTTTTACTCTCGTGATTTTTCTTAAAAACTGATCTCGTGTCTTACTTCCCCATCCATGCTACATGCACCTTCGTCTCAGCTTCAATGATTCATTTACACTAACAACATTAGCGTCAACGTAGGCTTCTATCAGACTACACTGCGCAACATCGCACAAGAGAGTCATCTTCATATTCATCGTCTTGAGAACCTAAAATCTCACCCACTGGAGTCACTAGGCTGTGACCTGGACGACCGGCTTCGATTCCAGGCAAGATTTTCTCTTCGTCTCTATGGTTAGAGGTTCTACCTGCCTCATCCTTGATAGGTGGTTGTGTCTTGGCTCCTCGGGAGTAATACGGCCGGAACAACAAGCTGATCACTCACTTCCATGTAGTGCCGAAGTAACGAATGTGTGGGTCTTCACCTCCGTTCTCCTCAATTGTCTTCATGTTCTCTAGAACTTCGTTTCTTTTCGAACTTCTTGCAGATAAACTGATCGTAGAAGGCAGACAACGGTCCATGATTCGTGCATCTTGCTATGAAGAACTACTGAATGCACATTAGAGTGAAAATCAATACCAGAAGTTTCCACCGTTAAGTTCTGGAGTTTCTAAACTTTCAGTGAGATGCATTCGAGATTTATTCTTCCTTCTCCGTCTAACGCCTTGTTAGCCGCCATATTTCCACCGCTGCACACCTCATAGTAGGGCAACATAAAGATTTGTGGAAACATTGATAGTGGTACGGATGGCAGTTGGCAATTTCCTCCCCATGCTTCGACGTACAAACGCAAACAAAATTTCATTAACCGGTGAAGTGAATTCAACCAATATCAAGCGACTGGTAACATATTTCCCAGTAACACGTGGGCTTCTAAACTAAGTGGGCTTCATAAGCTAACCTCTGAAAATGAAACTAGGGCATCCACGTTGCTATTACACAGCTGGATGCTTTTTGGTGGAAGAAGGACCTAAAGGACAAATGTTCTTTTGACTGAGCAAGAATCTAGGATCAGAGTCCTGCTTGAGAAGCATTTCTTAATTGCAAACTCAAAACTATTTTAATCAAATGAGCAGTCTTAATATAGGTATACTTGAGGCGAAAGTAACTAATCGATTCAAGCCCATTAGGGAAATATTCTCCCGGAAAAATGTGAAGAAAAATCAACATTATATTTTAATTTTTTATTTTTCATTAATAAAAACAAACATCAAATACTACTCAAAACCATCCAAAAATTATAACAGTGTAAATATTAGAGGAATATGGTGTTAAAATTTGGACTGAATTCAAGTGGTTTAGGGCAGTTTCATCAGGGGGTTGTTGTTAACATCATAATGAACTTTTGGCCCTTAGAAAAATATATCTTGACCTGTTGACTAACCATAAATTTTTGAAGAAAGATCATGCATCATGATGTTAGTTAACAATTAAAACAGTTTTATATTTTGTGGTTTATTTAACTTTGAAACGAAGTGGTATATATCTGCCCAAATTTTTGATAATCTCTGTATATACTGGTGATTATTTGACTATATCTTAAGCCCTTAAAATATATCACGCGACACAAAGCTTAAATGAAACATGGTATTTTTTGAATGTGTTAAAGGTACAACCTGTAATTAATAACTGTGCTGAATATACCGCGGTAATGTCACAGCAAACCCCTCCCCACTAATATAAATCAGGAATGATAACGAACGACTCGACCGTGACGTTTGGTTCAGAGATGAACCAAGGGAGTATACAGAATAAACATGTTAGCATTAGACGATCTGGTGGGAGTTGTTACTACCCCGTAGATCAGTAGAGTTCACACCTGAATGATCGGTACTTACGTCGACATATTTCTGTTTGGCGCCGTACGTGTAGTGCTTCTTGCCTAGCTCCTGTAAAATTGTCTCCAGCTTCTCAGGTTCGTGCAGCCTTGCCACTGCTTTCTGCACGAAAGCCATCACTCTGAAATCAAAATTTTTATTTGAGATTTGAGGTTCTCACCGCCTCAGTATTCTGACCTGAAGATGGAGGCACTATATTCCTCTGAAGCATTGGTATCTATCTACAAATCCACAGGGCGTTTTAACCCAAAAGTCCAACAGCAATGAGGTGGTGTTATGTTTAATGTAGGATTTGAGGTTCTCACAGCGATGAGAAAATGGCTGTCCTCTGGTTTGTAGTGCCGTGTGGTAAGAAGTTCAATTACGTTTCAGAGGTCCTTGATGCCTCCATCATCAAAGCGATAAGGTTCTAACTGCAGTGAAAATGTAAATTGTGTCTTCCGGGATGTGAAGCGATGTAGTTTTGTAGCTTGTTATCAGCTTCCCGCTTTAATACTGAAAATGGTTGCGATGTATTTCTCCGATATATTTGTAATCCAAAATAATATGGCGTCACAGTCCACAAGACCACAATAAATAAAACATTTCTTTCAACAAAGTACACTGTTTTTAATAACTGTATGTTGTTCAGTTGTTAACTTCAATAGTTTTTCTTTTTTAAATTTTAAACCCAACAGCTGACACTATTCGAAAGTTATATGTAACAATGAATATGGTGGGATATTTTAGCACAGTGTTACCACAATGAAAAATCACATTTTTATTAACAAGAAGAAATTCCTCAGAATTTTTACTGCTGAATATGGCTAATGTTTTTCTGTCACCTTTTATTTTACTGCAGCGATTTCTATTTATTAACGTAATTTTTAATAAGAAAATATTTAACAAAACTTTACACTATTTTGGATGGAAATATCAAAAGTGTACAAAAATTCAATTCACGTTACGGTCACAAGACAATTCATATTGTTATTTTAGTGCTTGAATGTGGCACATGAATGTGACATGTTGTGACACACGATTGTAATCGGCCATGCGTCAAACACAGCATTACTTTTATCAAACAAACGCAAAGAGTTGAACACGAACTGCCATAACAATGAACGTTTTTCTAGCATGTGTTAAATTCGTCGACAGAAGCGAGAAAGTACACAGACATGACTACATCTGCAGAAGACTGAGGAACATACTACCCTAATTTAATTAAGATTGTCATGTGTCATCAGGTAGTAAGCTCATTTTTACTTGAGTAAATGCGAGAAGTTTGCACCTGACGCTTTATATTTATGACCAGTTCTTAATGAGAATTCGTCTTAGCGTGCCACAGCTCAGACAGAATCTGGATTCTTAGGTTTCATCCCGTGTGACTTCAAGCGAGATTCATTGTAGACGCAGTTACATCTAGCGTTCTTACGCTCTTCACGAGCGTAAGCCCCAACTACTTGGCTGGCTGAGGCTGGCTAATGATGCATTTTGTCTGATCGGTTCTGCCGTATTTCAGTGCATACAGTAACAATAAACTACGAAAGTAAGAAGTATTTTTTATTGTTTTTTAAAAACTTTAGCCAGGCTAACTTGGCTAACACAGTTAATATAGAAGTGAATGTTTCCCGAATATCGTGCCAGACGTGGTAATGTCGCTGCACAACAAGGGGCAACAATGCTAAGCGTTGTATCTCAAATCAAATTTGCCTTACCTCAGTGCGTGTGCCCTGAGCTGCTTGCTGTGTTTTAAATCTTCCAGTTCAATTCCGTTGAATGGCATGAAAACTTGCTGGACGTCGGGATGAGTTTCGAACAAACTGAAAGGAAGACAAACAAAGATCTTTTAGTGTTCATTTTTACAGAGGCCACTGGAAGAAGTTCAATTGAACACGTGTCCCTCCAGCTGGTAAAGCAGCTGTGTGGCTTGCGGGGAATACAGCAGTACGCAGAGAAGGGTAGCCTGTGTGCCGTCATCCCGTCAACCCATGGGACTTCCATCTGTAGCCTCAGCATAGTCCGACAATACCGTATCAAGTTAGATGTTCAGGATTGTGGAGTCAAGCACGGATAATACAGATACATCGATGCTACTAGAATACAATAGAATATAAACCAGAACTATTATTGATCATACACAGCTTTAAGTGGTTTTCACGGCGGTGAATCCGAGGATGGCTGTCTTCTAGGCTGTTGAGCCGTGTAGCCTGGTAGAAGTTTACCGACGTTTCAGAGATCTCTACAGCCACTCATCGCCCTGATGATGGAGGCAGCAAGGACCTCTGAACTAAGTTTTCAACAATACTATACTGTGTTATCAGATTTGCTTGTATGCGACAACAAATTTTTGTCAGGAATCGTAAACACTAACCTTAAGTAGCTAAACGAAAATAAAGCTTGTAAAAGCACTTCAGTTCTGAAGATGGAGACTGCTCTGAAGATTTGGTATCTACCTGCGAATCTACACGGCGTATCAAGCCGGAACAACATCGACACTTACGAAAGCAAATTTACTCATTTTAGCGATATTGTTAACAAAAAAATTTGTTACAAGGAATTTAGAATAAGGGAATACTTTCAAATAAAAATATTCTAATATATGTAATACCAGTGAACGTACCCGTATATGAGAAAAAAATATTTTACAGCAAGTCGCTCCTTTTAGACTCCTAAAAAGAGAATCTGAACTGCCAAGACGTTGATGTGACGATAATATTAAAACGGATCTTAAGGTAATCAGGTGGGACGTAGTGGACTGGATTTATGTGGCTCCGTGTAGGGTCCAGTGGGGGGGGGAATTTTGTGACCACGGTAAAGAACATTCGGGTATCGTAGAGGTAGATTATGTCTTGACTAGCTGAAATATTGTCGGCTTCTCTGTAAGGATTCCATTCAGTTTTATTGATGTTATTAATTCTATAATCATGGTGCGATCAACATTAGTGGAGTGTCTGTTGCAAATATTTGCGCACATTTGCATACGAAAGCTTTCTAATTGAACAGGTTTCATATGGAGAGTAGGAATCAAGTTATAGTAAGTTCCGCCAGATAAATGCAAACACACACTGTTACAACATCAAACAGCAGTTTCATTGTCTCACGGGATGCCCCACGAAGCTCTAAAGTGCATACAGTAATCTTCCACATATAATTGTCATATCAGTTTCAAAAGGATATATTTTATGAATTATTTTCGCTCAGTTAATGGAATGAACGCGTATTAAATGCGTTGTTTTTTTCCCTTCGATCTTGTTATTTCATCCCTGCAACTGTTTATTATATTCTATGTGTGCCGATAGGGGAAGTGGAGAATGGTTGTGTGATAGACGTTTAGTGATCACATACACGTTTGGCGTTAAAAGAATTAGAGTTCAATTCGGCGTTGTAACTAATTTCGAAACTAAAAATGAAGGCAGAATAATGGCAAACGATCCCCTGAAAACGGAAGTGTAAACCCTCGAAATGTCGTGTACCGCATGCATGTACCCGAAAATTTTCAGCGTGCAACAATATTTTTACAAACCTGCAGAGACTCATTTTAACAGGGTCAGTGGCACTTAAAAAACGAAAAATAAAGTCTTACGTTTTATTTTCGTGGTTTAGTGGTGCTCCATGCTCTGGAACACGGCGGAACCATTCAGATAAATTGCATCGTTAGCCAGTTGCAGCCAGCCAGACGTTGTTAGCTAGCTAGTTGAGGTTTACGTTTGTGGTTAGTGTGACAACACTAATAATGCAAGTATATTGTCGGTAATAAACGCACATAATCATAAACATTATCCCATAGGTCCGAAAATGCATTACTGTGGCAACGGTTATAACACATTAATAAATATTATCCCGTAAGACCAAAAATCTCTTTTCAGCAAATAATCACCAAAAAACCAAGCTACCAACCAAAACGTACTTATTACTGAAACGTATCTGAGTTCAAAAATTCACGGCATTATAGCTCAGTTACCATGCAGCGTCTGTGGGTCTCGGATTTGACGAAGATCTGTAATGCACCGCGGGTGAACGCAGACAGTAGTAAGCGCGAAGTGCTGGAGTGGGGTAAAGACCGCACAATAAGCCGCCTAAATATTTCGCACACAATATAACTTAAAGCTCATTACAGCTTCATAAACCCACCCATTCATTACGCAGCACAATTACTGAGGAGTCTGTTTAGCTATTTGATTGTCTTCCTTGTCCTTAATAGGATTCGTAAACATTGTAACAAATAAGCAATGGGTGTTGAGATCATGATAAAGAAAAATTAAGTTAAAAAGATACAGTTATTCTTAATGCTTAATTAAGCACTGCGTACTAAAGAGGTGCATGAATATGGACGAATATCTTCATGTATTCCTAACCTCGGAACTAAGTGGAGGTGAATAGTAATCTGAAGATGAATGTCTTCTGGGTTGTTGCGCGCTGATAATAGAGGCAGCAAGGACCTCTGAAACGTCGGCAGACTTCTACCAGACTACACGGCGCAGCAACCCAGAAGACAGCAGTGTTTTATATTTTTGATGAATACTCCTTATTCCACTGTTTCTCACGTGGATAAATATATTTTCGTGCCCATTTTAGTGTCAACTTTAACGATCAGTTCGTTTAATATTTAGGTCACATTCGCATTTAAGTGTTTATTCTGCGGTAGTTTTCGCTGCAAAGGCAAATGGAACGCACGTCTGAATACCGAGATCTGATATCCGGAGAACGTGACTGAGAACCGTCGGCTGCTATCACGACCTTTGTTTCGCTATCTGATGCTTCATTGTCTCTTCCACAACAAGTCCCGTCGTATCGTTTTCATACTTCGCTGAAAAACCTGATAGATCAAGAAGAGGCTTTTGTCAGCCGTCCATTTTAATTCGGTTCTTTTGTTTACCTGCACATGAAGCATTTTTCATGCTCCTCGTGCGAGTATGTAGAATTATTAATTAAAAAACTGGTTTCTGCTTTTATGACTTTCATTTCCAATCATTCAAGAGAAATTCAGAGAACAAGTCGAACTGAAACAGATCGTAAAAGAACGCGAGACGAACACTTTGCTTTACTGTCTTAAGAACAGAGGATACCAGGAATTATAAATTAATAACTGTAAACTATTTCTATGCATGATGCCGACAAGTTTCTAAGTGCTTGTCAGTTGTCACATGAAACTTCATTCCTTCGCTAAGATCATAATTTTTAACTAACTCCACGGAGGATATTATTTATTTAGAAGCTAATAGTCGCTCAGCCAGTTAAAAAATTTCATGTTTTATGGAACCAGAG